TCTTACTCGGGCTTCCGACCCCATACAGAACGCGCCTTGGTGTAGCCGTGGATCTTGGAGCTGTTAAACTCCTTTCTGAGCTGGGCCGCATAAAGTGCAGTCTCCTCAGGACGCCACCCCATAACCGCGTTGAACGTGTAGTTCAGGTAGCCTGCGTGACCACAAATCAGTATGAACCCAGAACGTCTTCAGCCACAACTTCATCGTGAAGCAGACTTACCATCGAGATCACTCTCAATCGCGACCTTCCACCAGAGTCCTACTTCGGCCAGGTGCTTGTCCCCAGGCCAGGTATTGACAGGAAGGAAATACTCCTTGACTTGAATATCCACGAAGCCCGCCGCTTCCATGCCCTTACGCTGGAGATCAAGATCGTAGACTTCGAACGGCCTGCCCATCTTCTTTCCAGCCGCATTCCATACCCTCCCCCACTGGGCCATTGCGCTTTCGTACTTCACTGACCCATCGTCACTCGTAAATGAGCTATTTGAATTAATGCTTTCGGTCCAGCCACCGGGCTTGCAGACGCGATAAGCCTGGCGAAATAGCCCCTCCCAGTCCTGGACGACGCCGAACATCATACGCGTGTGGACGAAATCGAAGGTATTGTCGGCCCAAGTCCACTCTGAATTGCAATCGTCCAGTTCAAACTTTACGTTGGCCGGAACCCAGGATGGCTGAATAGGGGTAATATCGGTACCGATAACCTCGGCATTGGGGAATTCATCAGCGAAGTCGCTGGGGAGAGAGCGTATTAGGCAAGGTATCAACTGGCACAGGATTTGTAAGACTCACATTGCCCACATGCCGGTTCCCGTTCCGATATCGACGACTTTCTGAATCTTCTTCTTGTCAAGAGGAGAATTGTAGAGTTTTCCGTCGAGGATCACCGTCCATGCGTGATGACTGTTTTCATTAGCTGAACTCGCCCTACGTCTGGCGAAGAGGAATGCCGAAGAAGCGCTAGCATGACGATGACTTACGCAATATCTAACGCCTGCTTATGGCGCTCATCGTTAGGCTGCCAGGATTCGACATTGCCCATCTCCTTATGATAGGTTCGCCCATGGATGTTGCGATACTCGAAAATGGACTCGGTCAGCGAGGCGGTGCTGGAAATGAAGGATCCCAGGCTCGAAGCTGAATCATTATTGGGATCCTCTTCCGTGTCCGGCTGGTGCCAATGTGAGGCAGGAAGAATGCCGACTGCAGTTTGCTCCTCATTGCTCAGTAATGGCGCCTGCTGTGCAGGCTCGGCCGCCGGCGATGCTCCCTTGCTTGGGCTCTTTGGGCTTTTGGGGCTCTGAAGATTGGAAGCCATGCTTGTGATTTGGCAGTGAAACGCCGTGAGGAAGACAGGAAAGATAGATGCCGAGAACGAAATCCAAAGGAGACGACAGAGGGTCGACGGTTGAGGTACGGTTAAAGGTTCGGGAGAAGAAGTGTGATTCAACCAGATTTTGAGCACTGATAACGAGAGGGGCATCCCCTCGTACGGCCAAACGGCATTAGCCGGTACAGTTGCTAGGTAGCCTTTCATCCACTGTGAAGAACGCTGAAGTAGTGTTCTGAATGTCGGGGAGACCGGTCAGCAGGTCAATTGACATGTGCCAAAGCCGACATCCGCACTTTCTACACCCCTACTGTAACCCTGGGGGACCAGTAACGGTAGCCCCTACCCAAAAGAGGTTATTGCCCCTGCAGCCTGCAGCAGCACCCAACCATCACAGTACATACCGGACACGTCGTATTCTTCCTAGCGTTGTACCAGAACTCTTCGGGACTCCCATCCGGAGGATATCGCAGCGCTGTTAGACGGACATGTGTTAAGCGGGCTGGCGGGGAATGTCAGTCCGGTCCTTCACCCAAACTGCTGCGGGCTCCCAAGGCTCAGCTGCCTAGGCGAGCCGATCCAGAGACGTTGACAACGGACGATGGAACGAAGGAGTTTCGGTAAAGTGGACTATCGGATTACGATATCACCACTTGTCGAGTGCCGGCGCGGGGAGAAGTTGGGACTTACCAGATTTTCGCATCGTTGAAATGAGCTGTGATTCCCGTCATGGCCGAGAGTGAATGGAAATCAACCCCTTGCCGCGCTTTCAGTAGGTCAATCCAGGGTTCATCATCCGTATCCGACACGACGAACCTTCTGTGTCAAGTCCGTCAAGTGCATGGAGCTTGATGGATTGAGGCTCTGTTTCGTTTTGAGACTTCAAATCCAGCCAAGCTCCAAGAGGTGTATTGTGTGTGGGGTTGACACTCGACAAGAAGTAGAACTGGTGTTTCGTTGTAGTCGAATATAATGGTAACGGTTGTGGCGGCTTTGCCTCGATTCCACAGGTGCTTTAACCGGCTCGGACCTGATAGACGGAAAGCGAGAGAACTTGCATGGCCCACATTCCGTTGCCTGTTCCAACGTCGAGCACTTTATGGATCTTCTTCTTGTCAAGTGGGGAGAGGTAAAGCTTTCCATCCAATTGAACCATGGAGTGGTGACTATCCGATGCAAATGGTGTTAATATGCAGTCAAATTCATCAATGCGCAAGGCCTCGAGCTCCGGCTTACAAAATCTCCAACGCATCAACGTGACGCTGATCGTTAGGTTCCCATGACTCGGCATTGCCAATTTCGGCGTGATATGTTCTTCCATGAATAGTGCGGTAGTCATAGATACTGGAGCTCAGGGAAGCGGTGGTCGAAGCGAGGGATGAAATCGTCGAGGCACCGTCATCAGCGGGATCTTCTGCGAGCTGCGAATCAAAGGATTAGCCCTCCTGCTGAGATGATGAGAGATGCATTGGACCTGTGACTTACTGCATACTGAGTCCAGTACGATGCAGGGAGAATACCAGCAGCGTTTGTTCCTCGGTGCTGAGCGGTGCTGGCCCGGAGTCAGAGGCAACTGGTGGCGGCGAGGTGGGGGTTGCTCGCTCTTGGGGCTTTGAGAGCCCGGGCTACTCGGGCTCTTGGGGCTCGTAGGGCTCTTGGAACTGGCCCCCATCTTCGCAAAGTTGTGGGAGAAAAGTGTTGGTACCTTAGCTACGCAGGTGTGTAGGTCTGATCAAGATCCCTGGACATATCAGCCAAGTCGACTCGGAGACATTTTTATGCTTGCAAAATGCGACGAGTCAATTCCAGTGTCGCTTTGTGGGCCGTCCAGCCCCTTCAAAGTTAAACACCGGGCCCCGCTGAAGAACTAGTGTATAGAGGCGAACATACCCTAACTCGACGTAGATCGTTGTCTTTGTGTCGATGGTCCTGCGGCATCAAACCTGAGATGGTCGATTCTGGATGCGTCGCGTTGCTCTAGCAGTCGACATATTGGAAGTGGAAAAGCGCTGTGTGTGCTTTCAGGATCTGGCTTGGGCAAAAGCCATGACTTCGTCCGCCAGCGGTCTCAACGCTGAGCAGGCCAGGGAACGGTCTCATGATGCCTCCCTGGTGCGGCCCTAAAACGTGGTGATCGCGGGACCACACCGTAATACGAGCGTAGTGGCAATTGACAAGACGAAGTACCGAACAACAATACACGAGAAGAAGCGGAATAAAGAGAAAGGGGTAGAGTAGAGCTGCGGAGTTGGAGATGCTAGTGTAGTGGAATGATGGTCAGGCACGGCCAGCTGAGGGGAGCTTGATGAAGAGGCGAGAACCATTTCACGCCTCCACACGCGTGCCGCAAACCGTTGAGGTACGGTCGAGAGGGCGGGGAGGGCGGGGCCCGGTACGGCCCGGTGCCTGACCCTCGTCCGTCGTCTGGTCCTGCCCAGCTGCGGCTTTCCCAGACTCATACACAAGAACTAACTACCGATACTACCACCGACGGCAGAATAAACACAAAGTGCGCGACGGAAAACGTTGGGAATGAATATATGCTGAGTCTTTTCAGTCCAATTGCGGCCTTTCAGATGTCAAAACACCTTGGAAAGATCAGGACTCTGTGATTACCGGGGAGCATTTGGACGCCAGGGAACCCTGGAAGACCGAGTTTTCCCATACGGAACGATGGCGCTTACGCCCAAGTGCCATGTGGCCGGTGACTTCTGGTAGGAAAGGGCGTGTGTCGATAGTTTACCAAACCCCTCCAAGAACCCTCAACATGTCCTGAAAATTTCCAGGGACTCCTAGTCCGGTAACGGGATCCACCCTTCTTGGCATTCCATCCTCCAACAATGACATTTCCACTCTGACTTCCCTCACCTATGTCTTCTCCGTCTCCTTCTCCTACTTCCACTTCCCACCCCCATTCCTCTCCGTCTCCATCTGTGTCTCCTTCTCCTTGTGTCCCATCCGCCCTGTCTACCTCCGTCGAATTGCCCTGCCTCTTCTCTACAACTTTCTGTCTTCGGCCTTTCCCCTTCCCTTTACCCTTATCGTTCACGTCCTCCATCACCTCCCCAGGGAAAACACATCCCTCGCTCCTTCCACCTTCCACATCCTTCAGTACCCCTCTCACTCTCTGATCCAAGTACAGATGCCCATTTAACCACCCCAGACTCCTCTTCCCTTGCCTCAAGCGTTGATCATTAACCAACGCCACCATAGCCGCCACCACCGGCGTTGACGCACTCGTCCCGCGTACCTCCACCATCTCTCCGCGGTGCATGATTTGGAAGCCTGAACCGATGGCAGCAATGTCTGGCATGCCGCGCCCGTTAAGAGAGAAGTAGACCGGTTTTTGAGCATGAGGGTGAGCTGTTTTCCTCGGTTTGTTTGATCCGGAGCGGACATGACTGGAGACGTATGGGTCTACAGCTGCCCGTTGCCAGAGAGGCCGATCAAAGTACTCGCTAAACCCACCGGAGGAAAAATCGGCGCCTGTGAGGTTGAGGGCGGTGTTATCCGTTGCTCCTACACTAGTAACCCACGGACAGGAAGCAGGGAACGTGGGCACAAAAGCTCGTCGACCTGATCCATCGTTTTTTATGCAAGAGTCACCACCGCCAGCGGAGTAGCCGATGCCTGCCGCCCCGCCGTCACCCGTTGCCACGAGGACAGAAGTACCGCGCGCTGCCAAGGCAGCAAAGAGATCGCATACTCTGTGAGCGTATCTGCGCGGGACGGATTGCTCGTCGTCTGCATAGCTGATGCTTAGCACATGGGGGATCTGCGTATCAGGCAAGGCCAACAAGGCTTGCAAGAACTCGAGGAAGGGCTCGTTATTGGCTCTAGGATCGTTCGCAGGGAGGGGACGGCCGGAAGAATCCAGTTTTGTCCCGCGCCCGCCGGTGGCGTAGTAGATCACTTGGGTAGGATGACCAAGGCTAAGAGCATATTGAACGTCGAGGTTGGCCTCGAGGCCGGAGAGGGCTGGGTCGGTGGAATGCAGGTCCCAAGGCGTGGCGTTGTTGAGGAGGGTTATGGTGATGTTGTAGGGGGGCTCCGCGGTTGCATTTGTGACGGGCGGGCGGGTCAGGCTGCCACCGCTGCCGCCCCGGGATGGAGTGGGTGTTGGAGGAAGCAGTTCGGGAGCGTAGGCAGTTAGGAAGGAGGTCACGTCTTGATGGGTGATGTATTGCTCCAGAAAACCGGCGATGCCGAAGCGCACGGGGGAGGGAGAGCGAGGGCGGGGAGGGTGAGTGTAGGTGAGGTTGTAAAGCTTGCGGATGCAGCCTGGGAAGGTGCCGGTCCAGCAAGGAGGAGCAAAGAACTCCTCTCGGGTGGACAGTTTGGGCTGAGCTGGCTGGCGACGTCCGAGGCGGAGGGTACTATCGTTGTGGTTGCGAGGAGGCATGAAGTGTGTAAGCGGGTGGACGAAGTCAACGTGGTCGTTGAGCCACCTGGGGATCGTGTAAGAGCGGGCGCGAAGTAGTTGGGTACCAGGGTCACCGCTATACGAGTAGTAGGCTAGGTCGGCTCCAAAGAGTGTCTCGACTGTAGTAGCTGTAGCATCAAAGGTGATCCAGCTGCTCTCCGCCTTGTAGCTTGTGATGCCGTGGGACTGTAGCCAACGGCCTACTGCTGTGATTGACTTATGGTCTGGTTGACGGTGTTTGTCGACTTCTTCTTTTGTGAGATGACGGCTGTTGGGGTCGTTGCCAGATGTAGACTGCTGCAGGAGGCGTCTTTTCAGCGCTTCTATCCCGGCTTCTTTCAGCGCAATGGACAGTTGTATCTGATCGGAATCGGTGGCATGGTGATCGAGTTTCCACCCTACCGACAAGTGGCTAGCTTCTTCGACGACGACTCTTGAGGCTGTGGCTAGCGAGGAGAAAAGGGAAAAGAGGCCTAGGAGGGCCCAGATGGGAGCTTGGAACATGGTAACCAAAGAGGCGGGAGGAGAACCGGACAGTGGTTTTTCAATCATCCGCCGTACCACGATGATAGCACCACTGTCATTTTTCAACCAAACGTAGATGGTGTCGCCCGTTTATATCTTTGGCGCATTAACACCTGGCCAGAGTATGAAGACGACAACTGTGCCCGTGTTGAACCCGGATGATTCGTGACGGAGGGTCCGAGGATGTTGAGGTATGTTCACCAAAGGGTACCATGGACACGGTATGCATGGTGTACATGGTGTACATGTTGGCTTCCCCGCGTCAACTTGTACCTGGGTCCAAGGAAGATTCGACCGTCGGTCATGATCGGAAGATGCTGCCGAGTTCTTGGCGGTCAGGAGAATGGTACATGGAGGCTCAATGTTGCTAAACTTGGAAAAGCAATATACTGGAGAAGCCACCGTGGGGACGGTAATATGGAGGTGCTTCGTGGTGTGGTGCCAAGAGTCAAGCCGAATTTGTTAGCCACGGGCCCTGAATTCAGCCGCGACGGCCTCTATGGGAGCATTGGTGGGCATATAGACAAGTTATAGGGTAGGGGGTCCCGAGCAGTCGTCCACGGAGGAAGAAAGATTGCCTCTCGATACAGTGTAAGAAGGTTGCCGATTATTGAAAGTAAGACGACAAGCTTCCAGACCCTTAGGAGAGTCGTAGGTCCTTGGTATCCAGCTAACACTTGTTAGTCGCAAAGGGATGCTGACAGCAGCAATTGTTCGGAACGGCTAGGGCGCCACGGTACCAGTACCCTCGGATACCACATCAGGCTTCCTATTGACTTCGCCTCCAGGATTTATTGCTCGTATTCCCCACCGCCGATCCTCCGCAACCGCGCTTCCGAATCGGTTCAAGAGTGTTCCGACGGATGCTGGGCCGATGACCGTATTGAGCACGATGGCCCAGACTGCAATGACAAAGGCCTTGCGCGACAGATACGGTGTCTCATTCAAGCCGATCTGTATGATGAGAAGCCCAATCTCGCCGCGCGCGGCCATGGCAGTCCCAAGGAAGGCTGCTGGGACCCAGTTTTGTTTTGCCGGGGTTGTCGAGAGCGCTTTTTCTGAGGAACTCGGCTTCTTATGTACGACGAGATCCCACAGTGGAATCACTAGACCGACGATCAGCTTGCCTAAAACCATCAGGACAGTAAAGACAATGCCCTTCCAGATGACCTCGCCTGTCCAAAGCTCGATAAAGGGGATGGAGAAGCCAATGCTGGCGAAGAAGCATGGTTGAAGAATGAAGCGTTGTGCATCTTGGATGTATCGCCCAAACGTGCTGGCAAATGTGGGCCTCTTTTGTTTCGCATTGTCATCGTGGTCTTTTCTGTCGCTTGGTTCGTCGGGGTGTGAATGCTGCTTGCTAGGTAGGCTCGACACCACTGTCCCGGCTAGGAATGCACCGAACAAACCGCTTGCGCCGGCATACGCAGCGATGGCCAGGAACGCGCAAAGGACCAGCACCATCAGAATCATGTTGGCGATGTGTCCGAACTTTGGGAAGAATCGTGCTTTGATAGCTGGTAGACGGAACAGGGGGCCCAGGACGAACTTGGCTGCCAGAGGCGTCAAGATGGCCATCAGACCGCTGGCTAGGATGGGCCGCCCTATGACCCAACCGAGATTCGCATTTTTGATATCGCGTAGCTGAGAGATGACACTGACGAGTACCAGTCCGCAGACATCATCGAGAATGGCGGCGCTGATAAGGACAGTGCCGACACGGGTCTGGGCAAAGTCGTGCTTGGACGAGGCGCTGTTGATGACGACAAAGGTGGTCCCTAGGGAGGTGGAGCAGAGGGCAGTGCCGACAATGAAGGCTTCGAGGGGGCCTATGTGTTGAGTATCGGTGTGTGTTCGCCATGAAAGAAGCCAAGGGGACGGATAAGTGAGGGCAACAAACCATAGCCAAAGCCAGTATAGAACAGGGCAAACGTCAGGGCAATCGGGGTGAGCACACCAAGAAGGGCCGCGCTGGTGCTGAGGAGCAAGTTCTGCCAAAGAAGATCGAGACGAATGGTCAAACCGCCTTCAAAGATGATGATTATGAGACCAATGTAGCCCAAGGCAAGAAATGTCTCCTGCCATTCCAGGGCCAGGATGTTGCCAATGGGGACGCCGTAGATGAGACCGACAATGATTTTCCCAATGAGCCCCGCATGGAGCACCTTGTCGGCCAGCCATTCGGACACGGCAAGAACGAAGAAGAATGAGATTAAGGTCAAAATGCTGACGACTGGAAGAAGAAGAAGAAGAAGAAGAAGAAGGAGGAGGAGGAGGAGGAATCAGCTGTGGTTCCTGTTGGGGAGGAAAGGGAGCGAATGACAAGCGACAGGTAACACACTGTCTGGTTCATGATATTCGAGGAAGGCGCCATTTCCTTGGGCACTCATGCTTCGGAGCGTGTCGCAACCAGCACTCCAGCTTGGCCGACTAATTGAGGAAGAATCGAAGCAGTAAGAGACGAGAGCAATCCCGTGAAGCACCAGATCAATGTTGTCGTTGGTCGTGACGGAAAACGGATCTCAATCGATCCCTTTAGCGGTGCAAATGAACCATTTTAGGCCAAGACAGCTTCGACATTGCAGTACTTAGCTTACCATAGTTCTGACGATCAGAAACAGGTACCTTTACGGCCAAGAAGTACAGATGGATCAAGTACAGCCAATCGGCTGCCCATACGGAGGGCTTGGCAGAAAATGGTTCATTTGCACCGCTAAAGGGATGACGATGCAGTGTTCTTCCCTCCAGTCTGCCACAGCGCGCTGATTGCACCGCAATCAGGAGGTCAGTGTCTGCAAGGGAGTCCCGTCTACAGTCTTGATGTTCATGGCGCTGTGTTTTTGGCGGAGAGGTTCGTGCATTCACGCAAGCACGGGCCACCACACCAGAACTCGGCCTCGGAGGGCGCTGGCCTGGCCCCCGGCAGTCTTACCTGCCCAGACAGCCGGGCCGTGTTCAGCCCTCCAAGGCCACTCGCATCCTGTTCACTCTTTTCGCGGCTGTGTTCACTCTTCCCCGGCCACGCATGGTCTCACAATCCAGCCACTAATCGATGCCCCTGCCTGTCACACAAATGGCCATCAAGAAGAATCGGTGTTTCCTTTTTGCGCGTTCGTCGCAGTGGATAGAACGCTAGCAACTATACAATGCCGTTGGCCGCCCGTGCAATACCCCTCCCGCTCTCGCTGTTCAATTCACAACGTCACGTTTTCTGCTCCTGGACACACACAGTCGAGGTTGAACCCACGGTCGTTCCTCTCAATAATCCAGTTTGCCAACCTCTGTTATTTCAAATCGCCTATAAACCGCAAGCATGGCTTCCAACTCCAAAAGCCCCAAAAGCCCACAGAACAGAGGATTAACAAGGGTGCCGATATCGATGTTGCTCAGCAATGAGGAGCAAACAGCAATCGGTATCCTTCCTGCCTCGCACTGGGAACAGCAGTTGACGCAAGAGGATCCCGATGAAAGAATAACTGAAAGGGCCAAGACCGTCTCGCTCACAGAGTCCATTTTCGAGTATCGCCAGTTCCATGGAAGAACATATCATAGCGTTATCGGTCGGGCGGAATCATGGGAACCCAATGATGAGCGTCATATCGATGCAATGGAGATTGCGTAAATACCTACCTAACCAGCATCCAAGCATCGTGAACATCGTTTGCACGTGCTAACCATTGCAACAGCCACCACGGTTATATGGTGCTTATGGGACACAAGTTGTATCGCGCTCCACTTGACAAGCAGAGGGTGCGAAAGGTGTTGGACGTTGGGACAGGAACCGGCCTGTGGGCAATGTAAGTCTTACCTCACACGTCCTGCATACTCGTTGGGTCTCGAAGCGCTTCCTCGTTTTATACCCCGGGTTGGACATGCGATTCGAGCCGTGACAGGAACAAGCCCCAATCGCCGTTCTAACAGTATATCCGATGCTCTCCAGTGACTTTGCCGACGAATTTCTCAAAGCCGACGTCGTCGGTACAGACATTACCCCTATTCAACCTTGCTGGGTGCCCGCCAATGTCAAGTTCGAACTTGATGATTGCAACTTGGAATGGACCTGGCCTGACAACACCTTTGACTTCGTCCATGGGCGTATGCTAATCGGGATTATCGAAGACTGGTACGAGTTTCATCGTCAGGCCTTCCGTACCTGTAAACCGGGCGGTACGTATCCCCGGACCCCTTCCATCCACCTGTTGTCCATCGACAGTCACTCACAAAATTCCCATGCAGGCTACGTCGAAACTTTTGTCGCTAGCACTTCTTTCCATTGTGACGACGGTACAGTAAAAGAGGACAGTGCCATGTCGCAATGGGGCAAGGTGTGGCGTGAAGGCGGTAGAAAGCTCGGCCGAACTTTTGAGGCTTACGAGAACGACCTCCAACGCAAGGCTATGGAAGCCGCTGGCTTTGTGGATATTGAGTATAAAGACTACTTTGTTCCGATGGGCGGCTGGGGTGATGATAAAGAGGCGGCTGAGAAAGGTCTTTGGTGCAAGATAACCGTCGAGGCGGACCTTGAAGGTGAGCTTCCATTTGCGCGTGCAGCGAGCACACAGTTCGCATCCAGGACTCTATCATTGACCATGAGTGACCTAAATGGGCTGATGCTAATATTTTTTTCAGGATACACCAATTATATTTTCAACGTTATTGTAGGGTGGACTCCAGAGGAGACCAACGCGTATACCGACCAACTGAAGAAAGAGTGGAGCAATCCCAACATTCACGGGTACTTCTGGGCACGCAGTGCCTGGGGCAGGAAGCCATAATAAGCCCCAAGGGACAGCCAGATGGCTAGATGACTAGGGAATGTTTCTGCGATCACGGGCAGACATATTAGGGAATAATACCTGAACGACATCGAGGCCCACCTCAGCTTCCTGGCACCCTTGGCAGCAATCTTTGGATATCTTTGTCCTGTCCAGGACCGGCATATCTCTCCTTATCCAGGCAACAACCTCTCACATCTCAAGCCTGTGTCGTCAAATCTGCACACATCGTCAGGTTAATCGCAATCAATCCATCAAGTTCATCAAGGCCACCCTCAAGGATGCCAATGAAATCCTTCACCAGGAAACAAGCGTCAACTACAGCGTAGTGTCCTTCTCCGCCATCTCGATTTCCGTCGCGGGGCTCTCAAGGCCCAACTGACCTCAAAGTGAGTTTCAATTCAGATGTCGACTCACTGTCCATCTCACCACCCGACCAAACTAACCATGGCGTCTTTTCACACAGCTTCACCCACAACTCTTTCAGATGTCCGAAACTCGCATCCGTCGGCGACACCGCATCTCGGTAGATATTCCAACGGTTGGTACTAACCGATACAACGGGCGCAAGCTTCCAGAGGCATCCGTCTGGTTGATCCGTCCCGCCGAAGCCCCGCAAGTAAGGGCCTTCATATGCCTCTCGCTTACCAGCTCACTCCCCTGTAATATCTAGATTAACCAACCCCCTCTTCTTCCACCAGGTCGTCGGTAATCTGATCGGCTTGACGAGACGCCAATCCCTTTTACTGTCTTGAAGGCACACGTACGCTTCATTTTCTGGACTAGAAACGCCGCTGTCACCCCAGGCTCCGCAGCCCAGAGGAATACGGAGGCAACAATCCGATCAATGGCAAGAACGACCGATGTGGGTAGAGTAAGCGGCTGGTTGCGACTCAAGTTGACGTTCAAGTGTACGTTAGATCCTCTGGGGTACGTTAGATCCTGTGATTCTTCCATTGCATGCCACATTTTCTGTTACATCCCCTTCTCATGTCCAATGGTATTGGGTTCCGAAGTTCAATCTACATCACTCGTCACACTTTCACTCGAATGTCCGCGAGCTATATTGGCGGGTGGGCCGCAGGGTGAACCCCGTGAGCTTTATCAGATCACAACCTGTCTGCAACATGTTATGCAACAACGCGTACTTCTTCGAGACCTGTCACTCCGCGGCATAACCGGATTGGGACGCTACTGCGGCCTCTACTGTTGCAGCTTGCTGCAGGGGGGAAACAACCCTTACAAGTTGCTGAAAAATAGTGGATTCCAACATGACGGACGGGGTCTTCTCTGTCCATCGACGCCTTGGTGGCTTTCATACCCGCCTTGGGCTCGCACACTCAGGCGAACATTTTGGTGGTCTCTGAAGTTCGAACGTGCCATTTTTCACGAGTACGGCTCACGTGTTTGATGGAGCGAATCGATTCTGACCCGGCGACCAGCCTTTTCTTGTTTGGATGTAACAGGAAGCGGCACCAATCCTTGCACCCCTCGGCGGCAGGGTACGGCAATGATTAAAGAGGCATAGCAACCAGAAGCTATTACCTAGACCTAGAGCCCCGCAATGAGCAGAAGCGATGCTTGGCAACTGTCGATTAATCCGATAGAAACACCCTGGAATCTCGAATCCACGGTCTCACCAATTGCATTGCCCTAGGACCGCATCGGGGAGGAACTCAAACGGTTTGTGGCCTCTCGTGCGCGCTTCACAGTAACGTGACCCTGAAGGAAACTGTACACTGTTACCGGTTACCTTTGCCGTACAATGCCCCCTCCTCGAGCACGTTGGTTTAAAGTCCTGCCCATGGAACGACCTTCTCCCAAGTCCCAGGTCTTCAACTCACGACGCCTCACAATCTTCCCCAGTACTTCCGGCTTCTTCACTCCTGCTCGCCTGACACCAAACGGACTCGGCTATCCTTCCCGCAGTCACAGCCATGGGTTCCAGCACGCAAAGCCCTCAGAGCCCTCGAAGCCCGCAAAGCCCCAAGAGCAAGGCGGCCTCGCCCGCACCCGCAGTTGCCCCGCTCAGCGCTGAGGCGCAAAATGCAGCTGGCATTCTTCCTGCAGCCCACTGGACGGAGCAACCGGTAACTACCTCAAGCATTTTCCTGGATGCCAAGTTGGCTTTGCACCTGCTAACACCACCGCCCATGTTGGTAGCTCCCCGAAGAGGACATTGATGACGGGGCGTCTTCCATCGGCTCCTTCAGTTCTACAACCGCTTCGCTAAGCTCAAGCATTTACAAGTACCGCGAAGTTCACGGAAGAACCTATCATGCCGAAATCGGTAACGCAGAGTCATGGCAGCCCAACGATCAACGCCATGTTGATGCGATGGAAATTTGGTAGGCATCCACAGCCTCCTCTGGCAAAGTAGTCCTACCTTCGAGGGCAGATGGGCTGACTACAGGAGAAGGTACCACGCTGTTACGTTACAAATGGGAGGAAAGCTATTCTTCTCCCCTCTTGAGCAGAAGAAGGTGAACAGGGCCCTTGATATTGGGACGGGGCTTGGCCTGTGGGCGATGTGAGTCTTGTTCTCTACATTTTTTTTCGGTTGGATGTCTCCCTCGGCCGCTTTCGGTTGGCTTACTTGACCCCCTATTTAGTGACTTTGCCGACGAATTTCCCAACGCTGAAGTTATAGGAACTGATGTCACCCCTATCCAACCTTCTTGGGTCCCCCCTAACGTCAAGTTTGAGCTAGACGATTGCAATAAGGAATGGACCTGGCCCGATAATACGTTCGATTTTGTTAATTTGCGGTACTTGATAGGCGTTGTCGATGACTGGGATGCCCTCTTTCGCAACGCATATCGAGTCGCTAAGCCCGGAGCCTATGTGGAGAGTCTTGTTCCCGGATCTTATTTCTTGTCCGATGACGGGACAGTTAAGGAGGGTAGTTCCCTGGACCAATGGGGTAGGGTATTCCGGGAGGGCGGCAAAAGAATTGGAAGAACGTTTTCGATATTAGAAGAGGATCTCCAGCGGAAAGGTATGGAGGCTGCTGGGTTCGTCGATATCGAGTTCAAGGATTTCCGATGCCCAATGGGTACGTGGCCCTCTGATAAGGAAGAAGCGGAAAAGGCTCTTTGGCAGAAGTTCGCTGTGGAGGCCGATCTTGAAGGTAAGCTCGCTTGTGATAACTCCGTCTCCCTTCCCTGCTTAATGAGCATTGAGCCATGATCGAATCAATTCTAACAATCCGGTTTAGGTTACATCAACTACATGTGGCATTCTGTCCTTGGTTGGACCGCGGATGAAGCAAAAGCTTTTGCCCGTCATCTGAGAAGGGATATAAATAACCCCAAGATCCACGGATACATGATCAGCCGTGTTGTATGGGGTCGGAAACCGGAGTAGGCATTTCAACAAGGGCTCAGCTGTTGGAGCCCGGTTGAACGGTACATGTAGGGCAGGCATGTTTCGGGATTTTGGGGGGAATAGCAGGCGAGATGCGAGTAGTCTTTACATGACATACGAGATTTCTTTCCTATCAATATAACAGGTTTCACGTCCACAGCCATGAGAGCTAACAAGTCCCGAACGTTGTGCATATCGACCCTCTTGAACACAAGTTTTTGTTGTCTAACCGAAGTCAAATACCCGGCATCCCCATATTACCGGACCCCTCTGACGCTCAAGTCACCACGTCAATCACGGCACTTGCCCAACGGCGTTCGGTACATCCCGCTTCGGGTCGGGTACTCTCCGCACATCATCAACATAAAACAGATCGACAAAGGGCATTGTGATTTCGCCGCCAGCCATCGATGCACTTCTCCTCCAGCAATTCTGCACGTCTTGATTACAGCACGCGGGATTATATGGGACTTCAACGAGTAACAGCCGAGCCTCTGGACATCGGATGCCACTTCTGTGCTCCCTTCGGACAACACAAACACCAGTCAGCCAGTTTAAAGCAACACATCATGGCCTCCGCCAGCACTCACTCTGAGGAGCGACATGTTACGCCACCGTACTCTCCCTGATATCCTCCAAGTCCCCTTTGCCAGCATCGGCGTACAGCTGCCATGGTCCGATTAGCCCTTCCAACCTGCTCCCTAGCAGCCCTCTCATCCATCCTCCTTCTCAATTCCTCCGCTTCCGCTGCCTCAACAGCCAGCTCACGATGCACCCGCTCCTTCCTCAACTCCGTCACTGCCCAGTACATCACCGCCCAATCCCTCGGTGAATCAACCGCCTTCATCACCTCTCTGCTCTCTCCCTCCGGCAACCTCACCATAGGAAACCCCAGCAACAACACCACAACCCCATCATTCCTCTACAAAGAAAATGAGGTCCCCCTCTTCCCAACATCCCCCAACTCAACCCTCTCCATACCCATCAAAGTCGACTTCCACCGCTCCGCTCACGACCCTACCCGCTGCGCAACGTTTACCGAACTCATCGCCGCTAACAATCCGGGTCATCCATATGTCATCCACACCCGCATGGAATTCTCTCCCTCTACTCTTCTCCCAACCTTAATCGAAAGCGTCGTGACCGACAAAGGCGACTGGCTCTTTAACGCAACCGGCACCCTTTCCCTCGCCCTCCAAGAATCTTGGCCTCCCATCCCCTCCAACTCTTCAGCCCGTACCAGTTACTCCCAGCTCCAAGCCGTCGGCGATTCATATTTCAACAGATTCGGCAACACTTCCGTTACCGTACCATGGGGACCTCCCTGTATCAGGATCGAAGGCGGCTTGCCCGCTCACGGGAACTTGACTGCCGATGGTCGCTGCCTGCAAGAGTGGCCGAGCACTATCATTGTGCCGTGGAGGAGGTACGTAGTCGACGAAGAGATGGGCGTGGTGAGTCTCTTTGTTGGATTCCCCGGGTTGGATAGGACGCAGGGGGAGGCGCCGATGCCTGATAGTCATGTTTTTAGGGTGGAGGGCGGGAGGATTAAGTATTTGCATACGGCTAGTAGTTGTGTGGTTGGGGGGTGTGGGTTGAATGGGACTTTCTTTGGACCATCGGAGATAAGAATGGGGAGGATGGAAGGGCGTGAAGAACATGGGGGAAGGATGGAGCGGAGGAGTGTGAGGACGAGAAGAGCGTGGAGGTTGGGGAGGTGGTGACTTGCGAGTGTGCCGAGTGGTGAGGATGTGCGAGTGTGAGAAAGGATCGAGAGAGTGTTAGAAAGAAACGGAAGAGTGACAGTTGTCAAGACCCAAGGCTGGGAGGGGTGTGGCCTGTGGCCCGTGGAAGGTTGAGTGATGGGTGATGCCTGTTTTCGGTTTGTGGTATCACAATCGGCATACAGACATGTATTGGATCTCTGATGGAACACAATCCGTTTACTTTTACGCACGCTCAAGCCCTTCTTCTCTCGTACCTACCATACCTGGGGCTAAGTACCTACCTGATATCTGGCATTTGCAAGTACCACGATCGTGATCCGAGCGCTCGCCAGGATATGCCAAACACGTCACGATACCTCCATGGCTTGAATTCATCCTCGCACATACAAGCACCGGTCTATACCTCTTGACTCGATCCCATAGCGTTTCCTCCATCGAGGAATGCAAGAAGGATTCGCAGGGATATACTACCAGATGTTTCAAGAGACATGTCACTGTTTTGCAAAGAGTCTTTT